GTTGCTTGGTAACGAACGGAAGCAAGCAAGCAAGGAACACGACATATATTTGACCCACCTACTGCAATCTCCAAAATCCACGTTTTTCTGCAAAAACCTCCATTCGTAACCTTTCACTATTGCCTTTTTTCAAAAGGGTGAAAAGGAAAAAATGTCATTAACTTTCGTTTCAAATATTTTTATTATATTTGAGCTGGAGAAACGAATCGGAAATGTTATAGTTACCACTATAACAAAGATTTTGTGAGATTTTTAGTTCAGAATATTTAATGTTTCTCAATACATTCAATATTTTTTGAATGTTTGGGTTTTTAATTATGCACCTTATCTCGTTTTTAGTAATCGATTGACTATGTTAAACTTGCATTGTAATAGCTTAATAGTGTTTCCATCATGTGTATTGTGCTGTTTGCAATCAAGGAAACTTATGGCAGTGTGGCTTTAGTCAGTTTAATGAAGGATAGCTGTAGGTTGGATGGCTTGTTGTGATTTACTTTATTGTACTTGGTAAGAGGTGTTTCATCAGATTGTGATGATTTCTTTAATCAATCCAAAAGGATTGTTGGGAAATATTTTATTTAAATTGACTGGTTCAAACAGGGTTTATGATTGCTTGAAGGAGCTACTTTTGAAGAATGGGCAAAAAGGTCAAAATCGCAAATGTACAGCATTCTCTGCTTCCTTGTACTTGTATAAAGAGTATGTTATTGCCCACGTTAAGGGCTGGTTATTAATTAACCAAATTATTAGCTATTTTAGATTTAATAATAATAATAATAATAATACTTTTTGCCTGGTCCTCTTTTATCTCTTCCCTTGCTCCGCAAGCCCTGTCTCTTGTTTATACAACTTTTAACTCATATCAATGTACATATCGGAAAGTTATTGTATTTATTAAGTATATTGTATTGAATTTACTCCCAGATTTGTGCAAAGATTATTTTTTCGTCTGGACTTTGTGATATACAATTGTTACAGATATTTCTCTTGTTTTTCTTCCCTTGCTCTGCAAGCCCTGTTTCTTGTATAAAAATTGTGTTTAGTATTTCATATATTCTTGTAATTATTGTGATAATTTGTGATTCAGTTTTCAGTATTAGTAATAGGTGTTTGCTGAATTACTGTATTATACACTCTGTGGCCAGCTCTTATGTGTCCCATCTCTTGCCCTGCAAGCCCTGTTTCTTGTTTATACAACATATTATAATTATGTAATAAACATTTATTGTAGTGTAGGATTATTTGAATTTCTAAGTCATTTAATATGCAATTTGTGATTGTTTTTCCCGTTTTTCTTCCCTTGTGTTGCAAGCCCTGTCTCTTGTAAAAACAACCACTTTTGTAGATACACACAGTCTCTACAGTCTTTATCCTCTGGTCCCTAGGGTCAGCTGACTCCGGGCCAGAGGAAAATTACCGATTGCCAAGGTTTGATGCCTAGGCAGTCGAGACCTCTTATTGAGACCCGATATAATAATAATGTACTTCAAGTGTGGTTTGCACTCTTAGGATGGTTAATACACTCTAATTCCTAGCAAATTTGTCTGATATCATTAGACTAACGTTTGAATGATAGTTTGAATGACAGTTTGAATGATTGTAATAGTGAAGTAGTGATTTATTTTACACCGACAAGTTGTGCCGTTAATTATGTTGCACATGAACGGCCATAAGAGGTTTTTGGGATTATAGTGCATGAAAATTAAGTTTATTTGTTCATAAGCTTTCTTTCTTTTCTTCCCAATAACATGATTGAATTGCCTAGTAATGTCATGTTCTACTTGGATAAGGCATGAAATCTCAGCAATATTCCTTTAATAACAAAAGATGTCGCCTTCTTGCTGGCAGCGAAGAAGCATGCTCTCACAGCAGTGGGGTTGCTTATTATATGCAACGGGACAACCGTGTTCAAGATAATTGGGCCCTTATATACTCTCAAGACCTTGCAATAAAGCACAATTTGCCTTTATATGTATTGACTGGCTTGAATGTCAAACATCCAGAGAATCCCGAAGCCACCAGAAGAGCAATAGACTTTACTCTTGGAGGGCTGGCAGAGGTTGCTAAAGAGTGCTCTCAGCTTGGCATTGAATTTTACTTCCTCGAAGACTTTCATGTTCCCATTTATGAGCGTATTCTTGAATTCATGCATGATACATCCATCAAATGCATTGTTACTGATTTCAGCCCATTGCGCCCTCACAGACAGCAGATCAAGGAATTGTGTGGCAGGATTGGAAAGGATAATACGAGTTGTTTATTTCAAGTTGATGCACATAACATTGTACCTGTTTGGGAGGCTTCCAACAAAGAAGAACATCAAGCTTTTCAAATGAGACTTAAAATTATGCCACGCTTCAATGAATTTTTAACTGAGTACCCAATTGTGAAATTCCATCCTGTGCAGGCAGAACAGACTTCACCAAACATTGATTGGGAAAAGATCAGAAATTCTGTTAGTGTTGATGAATCAGTCCCAATCTGCCAATGGGCTAAGCCTGGTTCACGTTATGGGTTGCAACAGTTACAAAGATTTATTGCAGAGGGTCTAGAAATATACCGCGAAAAGCGGAACATACCTACTACAGAAGCAGTCTCCAATCTTTCTCCATGGTTACATTTTGGACATATAAGTGCTCAGAGAACTGTCATCGCTGTGAAGCTGCTTGAAAACTTATATCCTGCCTCTGTATCAAAATTTATTGATGAAGCTGTTGTGTGGAGTGAAATGTCAGATAATTACTGCTATTACAATGAAAACTATGACAATTTGAATGGTGCTCCTGAATGGGCGATTGAAAGTTTGAATAAGCATAAGAATGATGAAAGGAAGAGTCTCTATTCTAAGGAACAATTTGAAGAAGCCCAGACACATGATGATCTCTGGAATGCTGCTCAAATTCAGCTCAAAGTAGAGGGAAAGATGCATGGATTTATGCGATTGTATTGGGCTAAAAAGATTCTAGAGTGGTCTGTCAGCCCAGAAGAGGCAATATCAATTGCACTGTATCTCAATGACCATTACAGTTTAGATGGAGCTGATTCTAATGGATTTGGAGGTGTTATGTATTCAATTGCTGGTGTACATGATCCTGCAGAATGGGATGAAAGACCAGTATATGGCAAAATTAGATACATGTCCTATGAAGGCTGTGAAGAAGATTTTGATATACTACAGTTTATCAAGAAGTATCAGCTAGAATGAAGTGCTGGGCCTTGGAGGCACTCAGGGTCAAGGGATGAATGACCCCAATGAATAGGCAATATGGATTGCTACTTATCCTAATTACCAAATTAAACCCCGGTGACAGAAACTTAGGTATTCAGGAATGTAATTCCTTGCCACTTGGGCCTTGCCAAACTCCACAAAAGTTTTAAAAACTCCGTTGATTTGTCAAATTTGGCACTTATAAAACTTTTCACCAAAATTTTGCGCTTTTAGGTAATTTTAAAAAGTTTCCCTTTAATTGACACTTCAAAGTCAAATGTTCCAGAGAACATTTGTGGCACGCAGCTTCATTCTTGCCACTGAAGGATCCTGGAGGAATCTGAAGTGATTTAGTGCTTGATCTAAGACAAGGAATGTGCCAAGAAAAACACATTATATGTATATAGTTCACATCACGTCACAGGTTGAGCATCTGGCCTCTAACACAGAGAGATCAATACCGAGTAGAATTTCTTTCCCAAATTTTCTTTCCCAAATTTTCTTTCCCAAATTTTCTTTCCCAAATTTTCTTTCCCAAATTTTCAATATTTGTTTAAATATTGCCACTTTTAAAACAATTGCCCTTATTCATCGCCACTTTTTCGATTTCTGTCACCAGGGTTAGAACAAAACTGATTCTAACGAATTTGGAAGTGTCATGTATTCAATTGTTAGTGTACATGACACTACTAAATGGTATGAAAGACATAGATTTATGTCCTACAAAGGCTGTGAAGAAGATTTTAATATATTAATATATTAAAGTATCGTATATATATAAATAATGAATCATATTATAATTCAGAACTTCTTCACACTCCAGGGCGCAGCCTTGGATGCGTTCTGGGTCAGAGGATGATTGAACCCAATGACTTTAAACTAGTCATTGGATCTTATGGAAAAAGGATTACTGTTATCAAATTCTGTTTTTGATTTTTTGGTATGAATTTTTAAATTGGTCTTGAAGTGACCCCTTTTGTACATGTCTCAGATTTAAGTGTTACCCTCAACTAAGTGAGTGATTTGTTTTTTATTTGTCACACATTCACAACCTTAAACCGACCCTCCTAATGTATTATACTCAAGAATTGTCTTTTTTGTCAATATGAAATGAATTATTATAATATTGTTTTTTAGATTGATTGGTATTGTCTCATGCTGAGAGCATTTTATCTTTATTTTATGATATATTGGATATAGACATACTTTATTTTGTTATCCATACACAGGTTTGAGAAGTGACAAGATTTGCTTGATAATAAAAACTGTGATAGTTCAGAATTTCAGACGCAGTTTTTTATTTATCCTTCCAAAACCAAAGTTCATGATTAAGGGCAAAATATAGGTTCTGCTGCAAATCATATCTTTGACCTATGTAATGTGGTGTCCTGCTTATTTCCATATTATTGGCATTTTATCAATGATAGGACTTATCTCGACAATATAACCGTTTTGAGTTATCAATATATCAACGTTTTTCCCCAGTATTTTTGGGCCTATGACGGTTAGCAGGTTTAACTGTATATATAGCCATTACTACAATGCACATTCGCCACCTGCTACTTATTCATAAGACAATTTATAACTGACAGCCCCTCCTAATCCTGCCCCTATCAATTACAAAGATGTTATCAATTTCACAAAATGAACTAATAACTTAGACTTGGTTAAACTTGGTTCAGATATAGATGACTAAATTCAGGGTTTTTTTGTGCCATGGTTTTGTGCACACGTCTCTAGATCTTCTAATTAAAACATTTTCGAATGATTATTTAAACCTTAACCTCAATTATTCTCAGTGTAGATGAACCCACAGACATGCAAAATGGTTCAGTTACTCAGTTGAATAGCATCAGACCTCCACGTTTCCATGGGCCACCTCAACCCATTGCTTCAGGTGCAGGCAATGGTTTCACTACGAATCCCTCTTTCTCTCAACTAAATCAAAGCCAGAGTAGCAGCGGAACGAGTTCACCTAATGTGGCTTATCAATACCCACGACCCATGTTTCCACCTGGTCCCCCTAACTATGACAGGAATGTGGTTACTCCACCAAATGGTGCAACCTCTCTCAGACCAGCGTCGCTTCCAACCAGCTTGAACACATCTCCCTCAAGAACCCCAGTTGGGTTCGCTCATTCAACCAGCAATTTAAATGGCCCCTCACCTCAAACCTTTCGACCACCAATGAATGGTCAGCACCGCATGGCACCACCTCAATTCGCAGCACGTCCTCCAACCAGCAATGCTTCTAACAACCAAATGGGTATGCCACCTTCCTCCTTCCTTCTGGGCCACCCAGATTTCGCCCACCACCACCAATGATGTTTAACCCTGGTGGACCTCCTGCACCTGGACTTAATAATGGGCCTCCTTTGATGGGGGTACCTAGTACCCAGACCCCAGTATCAGATCCTCCTACACAACCCCCGCCAGTAAATCCTCCTCCACCTCCACCAACAGGGGCTGGGAACTTTTCGCGATTAGGACCATCAGGTTTAAAGGCAAAACGACCTATTCCATCATATAACATAAATCAGCCTTCTGTAAGCCCAGTTCCTAATAATCTGCCTCCTAACGCATTGCCTGTGTCCACTGCCCAACCAGCTGGTCCATCACCACCTTCTAACATGCCTCCTGGAGGGATGCCACCACAACCAAACATGGCACAATATCCTGGAATGCCGCATCAACCAAATACGCCGCAATATCCGGGAGGGATGCCACCACAACCAGGTATGCCATCACCACAACCTGGTATGCCACCACAACCTGGTATGCCACTTGAACCAGGTACTCCTATGGTTGATCCGGCCACTCAAAGAATGAGGCAAATGAGCCTATCTGACAGGTCTTACATTAATTTAATGGAACATCGTTCTATTTTTCCCAAGGATGAGAAACTGACCTGTTTACCTCCGCTACCCCCTGATTTACTAACCCATAACAAATATCCGGAGCACTTCTGCTCCACACTAAACGTCGTGCCATCATCTTCTAGCATTCTCAGCAAGTTAAAGGTGCCGTTTGGTTTAGTGATCCAACCTTTTAAAGATCTTGGCGAAGAAGTCCCTATTGTAACACCACCTATTCCTCGATGTAAAGTATGCAGAACTTATGTTAACCCATATGTTCAGCTCAATGATGGGGCTAGGAGATGGAAATGTAACATTTGTGCAAGATTGAATGACATGCCAGCCGACTACTTCTATGGTGAGGATGGCAGGAGGGTCCCATTTGATGTCGCCAGCAGACCTGAACTCAACTGTTCTCTTGTTGAGTACATAGCTCCATCAGAGTACACGACTAGACCACCTCAAGGTGCTGTTTATTTGTACTTAATTGATGTGTCAATCGGTGCTGTTCAGTCTGGTATGGTAAAGATGGCTTGTAAAGTTTTAGGAGAAGAAATTGATTCAATCCCAGGTGATAGCAGGAGGAGTATTGGTATTATCTGCTTCAGCTCTAAGTTACATTATTTCAACTTGCACAAGAACTCTGGCCAGCCTCAGATGCTTGTTGTTCCAGATCTGGACGAACCCTTTATACCTACCATTGATGAGCTAATAGTTAATATAAAAGAGGAAAAACAGAAAATAAAAGATCTGCTGGCAATCATCCCAACAGTATTTGCTGATTCAAAGGACCCAGACTGTGCTGTTGGACCTGTTCTAAAGGCAGCTAAGGAGCTGATATTCCGTTATGGTGGCCGCCTTACCCTGCTAATGTCTCGCTCACCTTCCATCGGAGAGGGCACCGTTAAAAAGAGGGCAGATACTTCCAAATTAGAGGGACTTTCTCTTTCACCCTTGGATGACTTTTATAAAACCCTTGCTTTGGAGTGTACCCAAAAGCAGGTGACAGTCGATTTGTTCCTGTTCCCTAATGATAACATGGACGTTCCAACTGTTTCCACAATCTCACAATTCTCGTCCGGATCTGTGTACTACTATCCTCAATACCACTATGAAAAGAATCCTCTTATGGCTGAAAAGTTCGTGACCGAGTTTCGGCATTATGTGGTGCGTCCAATAGCATTTGAGGCTGTACTCAGGATAAGATGCACCTCGGGTGTCAACATCCACTCATTCTTTGGAAACTGCTTCGTACGGGCTCATGATCTGATCGCTTTAGCAAATGTGAGTCCAGATGTGGCATTTGGTGTTCAGATCAGCATTGACGATAATTTACATGAAAGCAAGTTGGCAATTTTCCAGTCTGCTCTCCTCTTTACCAGTGCCAAGGGTGACAGAAGGATCAGGGTCCACACTTTAGCCCTCCCTATTTCAAGTGATCCTCAAACTATCTACAATAACCTCAACATCGATGCATCCATATCTATTCTCGCTAAAATGGCTGTTGAGAAGTCTAACTCGGCTTCTCTAGGTGATGCCAGGGAAGCATTGCAGTACGCGGTTGTAGACCCCCTCATTAAGTACAGAACAGACTACTGTCCTGCCGCTAAAGGATCTGGTCAGTTGGCAGTTCCCGTATCTCAGCGATTACTTCCCCTCTATATTTCTAGTTTACTCAAAAGCAAAGCATTCCGCTTGCAAAACGTTTCTGTTGATGACAGGTATTTTGCGATGTTACAGTTCAAGACGCTTCCAATTGAAGAGATCATGCTTATGATCTACCCTCGTCTGTTTTCGCTTCATAACCTAGCAGAAACATGGACTGATAAGAACACTGTTCCACCTCGGCTACCGCTCACAGCAGAGAAACTCACTCGCCAAGGTGCTTTTCTTTTACAAACTCACGAACATTTCATCGTCTGGATTGGCAGGCATGTCAGTGATATTTTCGTCAACTCAATTTATAACGCAGCGAGTTACAATGACCTGCCCGAACTCAAAGTGGGTATCGAACATCACGATAACGCCATTTCGGACCTGCTGCACGACTTGATCAGCCTGTTGGCGAAGGTTCGGGAAGTTCCCACCACGATAGTCTCTGTGAGGGAAGACACCCGAAGTGGGTCAATGTTTTTACAACATCTAGTCGAGGACAGATCAGATGGCCAGATATCTTATTATGAGTTTTTACAGAAAATTCAACAGCAAGTTGGATAGTACAGTTTGATGATTTTGTCGTAATTTTAGAAGTAAAGTGACGGTTTATAGACTCGATCGATTTGTTACCATCTTCAGCTTCCATGTGTGGACTGACTGACTCAGAATGTTGGACTTTGATTTAAATTTATTGATTTTGGGTAAGAATCCTCGTTTCCACCTGGCCTGATGCTGGCAATGTATAGTATATTAAATCATTTGAACTAAGAACTGTACAAAATGTAAAGAAATAAACCAATTTGTGATCAAAGAGTTATATTTTTTATTTGGGGTTTGACCACATGTGAGGTGATGCTACACGGAAGAAGTATAAATATGTTAGCCAATAGTTGACACAAGTTGAAAGATGTTAGGTTTCCGCTTTGCCTGTTGTGAAAGGTGCACCTTTTGTTAAGTAGTTGTCATGTTTTATATATAGCGTCACATGATGATTCTCTAGCGTAGGACCTACTACATGATATATATAAGGTACAGTAATATTACGTGAGATCAGTTTTTAGTTGAAGATTATTGATAGTCGAGTATGAATTTGTCGATTGTCAAAGCTATAGAAAATGTTTCGATTTCTTGTTAAATCTATCAAAATGTCACATGTCTGCAGTTAATGCGCAGGCCAAGATGATGAAATTCATAATCATTGACTTTGACTTTGTTATATTGCAATAATGGTACAGCTTGTTAAAATCAAATTATTAATATAAGCTCTTTAAAGCTATGGGGGTAAGTTATTCTATTTTTACTATCTTTGCAATCTCATTTCACTCGTAAAACGTCACCTCAAATTATAGATCTTGATTGATCTTTGTTAGTGTTTCTTGACACTTCAAGGTTTATGGCCCCTAATACTGCTCATGCTATTCGCTGTTTAACTTTTGCTGTAATCTTCCTCAAAATAAATTGGTCATCGGTGGTATTAATGATTTGTTTTTTAAAAATGCTAGGAATTAAGATATTTTACCGGTAAAATCTGCCAGTTCATCTTTTTCTGCTCACTTTTCACGTCTATTAATGGATAGAATTTGTGTTATTTTTTGTACCAATTGTTGTGATTCGATTGAAACTCAGCAAAGTTTGAAATATGATGTGTTTTATTAGAGTTATTCACTTTTAAATGCCAAATATTGCCATTCAGTACCATCTAAAATGTCCTCTCCTAGCGATGAATTGAAAATTCGATTATTAACTTAACTAAATGACTATATCATGAGTTATTTAAATTATGTAATTAAAATAAGTTATTTAGATAAATAACAACACAATCTGACCAGGATGGGCAAGCCGAGTGGTTTAAAGACGGCTCGCAAGCTCCGTGTACACCGACGGGACCAGCGCTGGCACGATCTGGGATACAAGAAAGCTCATCTGGGAACACGATGGAAGGCTAACCCTTTCGGAGGATCATCTCACGCTAAAGGAATTGTCCTGGAGAAAGTCGGAGTCGAAGCCAAACAGCCCAACTCAGCCATCCGAAAATGTGTCAGAGTACAGCTGATTAAAAACGGGAAGAAAATCACAGCTTTCGTCCCCAACGATGGTTGTTTGAACTATATTGAGGAGAATGACGAGGTTCTCATTTCCGGGTTCGGACGATCTGGTCATGCCGTGGGTGATATTCCCGGTGTGAGATTTAAGGTGGTTAAAGTTGCCAGTGTGTCGCTCTTAGCCCTTTATAAGCAGAAGAAAGAAAGGCCAAGGGCTTAATTTTATTATTTATGTGAATTGTTTTTATTTATTCATATATATGTTTTTGTTTTTACTGACTATTATCGATCTATGATCTATCGTATCTTTTTGCATAAACAAATCACAATGACCCAATGAATCCTCAAATTACGAATTCAAAAAATCCCTAAAATAAAAAGATAAATGACCGAATCAAAATTCAACCTCGCAACACACGAAACATTTATTCAACTACAAAAACTAACACACGTACACAGCAGAATGCTCCCCAAGCCCGACGAACGAGACCTTTGGTCGGACATCCTAAACGACGTGAGCACTGCCTCCACCAACAAAGACAAGAAGTGTTTGCTGGTTTTGGGGGATGAGTTCGTGGGTAAAACAGCTATTATCAGTAGACTGAGGAGGTTGGAGGGTCACGTGACTAAAGCGGGGCTCGGTCTCGAATATTCTTATCTTGATATCAGGGTAAGTGTGTAACGTACTGTTACCTGTGTTACAGTGTAATACTGTTACCTGTATATAGCGTTAAAACGAGCTATTTCGTTCAGGTTCTTTATCTTTCTTCGTTTTCTGTCGATTGTGTTTTATGGGATCATAGCGAGAATTAATCTGCCTTAACTCTCAAGTCAAAGTAGCGATTAATTGTTCAGTTCCAAAGCTATCGGGAAGTAATTTACAACAATGCACGTAATTAAACACAATCAATATAACAACAAATAACAAGACTGACCCCCCTCTCAGGACCAGTTCTCAGACGACATCATATCCCGTCTCAGTATTTGGACCCTGAACAACGACAGAACCTCTCTCCAATACACCCTGTCTGAGAAGCACCTCACCTACTCTGATAAGGGCTGGAATGGGATGGTGGTGTTGGTTGTGGACTATTCCAGACCTTGGAGCGTGATGGAGAGGCTGGAGCACTGGGTGGAGGTGCTGGATAAACATATTGAGTCCATGAAGGTGGGTTTATGCAACTTACACATCCCCTGTTGTTGTATCCTTGAGTCTCATCCGGCAACCGCGACCCATTTTAAAGCTAAATAAAACACTTGAAAATACCATACTATTTGGTAGTCAGTATAGTAAGTCAGTGCAGTACTTGACATTTGACAATGACCGTCATATCCTCCTAGATAGAACCAAGCGAGAGACGTGATGTTTGTGGTAAACTAGCTAAATCTCTACAAGAATACTGTCTTCCTGGCACTGAGAGCAATAAAGATGTGCTCTTACCGCTTACTGAGGGTGTATTGGACCAAAACACAGGTATTTGACACGTGGACATTGCACGTGACACGTGAAAATTGCACGTGACACGTGGAAATTGCACGTGACATGTGGACATTGCACGTGACACGTGTTCTGTTGTAGACTTCTTGTTTTGAAATTATGTCAGTTTGACACGTGACAAGATCTTTATACCACAGCTCACAGCTCTCATCCCAGGAATACCAATAGCGGTGGTGTGCACCAAGCTGGACTCTATGACTACGTTGGAGAAGGATCTAGACTACACGGACGCTTACTTTGACCTGATCCAGTGGCATCTCAGGAAGTTCTCCTTAAAGTACGGAGCTGGTCTTTTCTACTTGAACGGCAAAGAGAGTCCTAACACTGATGTGTTGTACAAGTATGTGACGAAGCTTCACTTTTAAAGATTGTTGAATTGCGTAACGTTTTTGAGTAATATTGCATCGGTTATCCAGGAAAATACTGCAGCTCCAGACGATCTTAATAAGGGTACATATTATAATATTATTAAACCTTTCATAAATCAGGTATGAAAGTAAAGTAACCGTGGTTTGATCAATCATATCGTCGGGAGATTCACCGATCAAATACTTGCTCCAATCCCTTAGTCACCACGTGTACATTGCCCACACGTCACCAGTAGCGATCATTACTTAATCCGTGTAACTCAATGTGACATGGTACCACAATCAGGCACCGAATGAGTGCTGAAATCTTCTATAACATTAGGGGTGTAATATTGTCAGTTATCGTCCGCAGTAAAGATTAGATTACATCCGCTACATACATGATAAGATAAAAGGAAATATCTGGAAGAAAGTCAACAATAAATACTGTTCAAAAATATATAATATGTAACATGACACGTCAACTCAACTGAAAATATAATCTGAAACTGGTAGTGCTAGTTCAAGTTCTTGGTAATGACGTCATATAATATGACGTCATATTGTGTGCAGTAAAATTATATGGTTATTATATCTGCCGTGAACAGTAAGCTTATAACAAACGGCGAGCAAATCAAATAATGTTAGATTGTGAAAATGCATATATAATAAGTTAAATAAAATCATATTATAGATGATAAGTAATATGATTAAGCTATTTCACATGCACTATATACTGGTGTACAATGTTATCAGTGCGTAGAGTGTATCTTAGAGTAAACTTAATTGTTTGTTTCAGACAATTTTACAAAATCTGTGTTTACTTAAAAATCTTGCTTTGAATTTGATGTATTATCGTGGAAAAGTAGGCGTGCAAAAACGCCCTATCCTTAGCTAATAAAATAAACATTGTCTGCAGTGTGGTTTTAGTGATGCAATACGTTTTGGTGCTACACACTGCACATGCAGACTCAATTATTTAATTGCATTATATTACATCTGTTCACACACGTGGTATGTAAGAATGTACGTGGTATGTTAGAATGTACGTGCGCGTGGTATGTAAGAATGTACGTGGTATGTAAGATTGTACGTGGTATGTAAGAATGTACGTGGTATGTCAGAATGTACGTGGTATGTAAGAATGTACGTGGTATGTAAGAATGTACGTGGTATGTAAGAATGCATGCTGCTCGGAGAATGCTTAAAGGCAAATTACCCATTGCATTGTAACAGCAAATGATACACTCTACCGTAGGTTATAATACATATTAAAATTAATGTAGCGTAATGAAGCTGAGGTAGATAACATGACAGCATAGCCGGCATTTTTATTTTAAAAAGGAGATAAAGCACTCCAATTTTTTCTTTATCAATGATGTAACGTCTGAGACGTGTGTACTGTTTACGTGTTAACTAGGTTTTCAAACCAAAAATAAAATACATCTAACTCTAAACCGACCTAAGAACCATAATTCCTGTATCATTCCGTAACCCCAGTCTCCATTCTTCAGGTACATTGTACACAAGATGTACTCCATACCATTTGAGGTATGTCCCAGTGTTATAGATAAGGATTGTCTGATGATTCCTGCTGGCTGGGATACACTTCAGAAGATATCTATACTGAACGATACTCTGCGTTCTTTTAACCTGGAAGATGATCTCAATACTGTGAGTAAAGATGTTTTGTGAGGGTTTGTTCAGAATTCTGAGCACCGGACTCTGGGGTGAACTCGGTGGAATTTTACTGTCTTATGGTAAAATTATTCGGGTTTCGCTTGCTTGGAATTCGGTGTCTTACTGTTGTAGTTGATTGTTCTCAAACTTTGCTAGCGCTATAATGACAATGTAGTATTTAAAGAACTGCAATTTTAATGGAATGTTTTGCTCAGAATGCGTTGAGAGTGCAAAACAAAATAACGAATTCTCTTAATGTTTTTAGAAGCTAATACTTGTGCGTAAGATGGGAGATAGTGTGAGCTAATTTATGGTGTTTTCTCTGTTAGCATGTACACAGTGACACAGTGTCTATTATATAAGTATATGATCAACAATTACTGCAATTATCGTAAAGGGTCGTAAATTTATGTGTTTACAGGTGTGTTTTGATTGCACGGTTGTATTGCTTAGTTGTTTCGTCAATTAAACATGTAGCAGAACTGATTATTGTTAATATTTGTGTAGGAAAAGTGTTCCTTTAGTAGAAATATAGTAGAATTATAGACATAAACATACTGTTGTAAAATAACTAAAATCCAGGTCCAGTTATTAAATATTCACAATCCACTAGTAACACTTATCTCTATTATAATTCAGAGAATTGTTTTTGTACACTGTACACTGTACGACCGCCCACGTGCAAATCAGACGAGAAATAGGAAGTTGCATAGTAACCATAGTAACGACTGAACGAGTAACACTTATCTTATAATAATATCAAAACCAACTATACCCCTAACTTACTCCAAGTCAACATCTTCAATACAAGAACCCTACGTCGTACGTGAATTCAACGTTAACACCTCAAATATGCTGTGTGCAGTACCGGGCACATTCTTCCAATTCCTTGAAGTTTGAAACCTAATCCGAGTATGAATTAGCTGCATCCTTGAATAATGAGATTCCGAACACTTAATGGACGTAAATCAAGTGTAGTTTTACTCAAATTTCATCCCGTATCAAGTGTTACGTAGGCTAGATCAATGGGGGTGATGCAACGTCAATTAATGTCAGTATTCCATAAAAACCCCAAACTGACATTGACATTAATTGACATTAATTGACATTAATTGACATTAATTGACATTAATTGACATTAATTGACATTAATTGACATTAATTGACATTAATTTGTCTTGAAATTTGAGATTATCATTATTCGATAAATATTCAAGATATTCACGTCTATGTAAGTTAGACCGGTTCAAAAAAACAAAATGTCCTTGAATAATTATGAGTATGTTCTTATCTGTTGATCCTTAGGTTCAAAGACCACCAAAAAAAATTTCAGCTTCCAACTCTTCCATCTTCGGTCCCCACCGGCCACGCCCATATTTTATTGGTTTCTTATACAGGTAAAATATCTAGAATCGGCTTTTTTTGTATGAAGGAGTAATGTTAGCTGTTTAAGATTCGTTATTCAAATATAAATGTCATGAAGGCATTTCGTTTAATGTGGGTTTTAAGTTCTGATGATGTTGAGAACCACGCCCTTGGATGGCCACGCCCATTTAAGAAAATTAAATTTCGGAAAACCGTATTATTTTAGTTTTATCGTTTAATGATCTGAATTTTTTTCACATTTCACATTTCCATATGTGATAGTAGTGAATAACTTGATGATATAAACGTTCTAAAGTGCTAAAAATATGGTAGAACTACATAATCTCTGGTCGAAAAATATCGTGTCAATTAATGTCAGTATTCCAAAATTTTGCAAAACTGACATTGACATTAATTGACATTAATTGACATTAATTGACATTAATTGACGTTGCATCACCCCCAGATCAATAATGATACAAGAAATTGTCCATATAATCATTTATCTGCTGGAGTATTGGGCGTTTATCAAATTTTAACAATGCAATTTAGTCCATGGTACAGTTAAGGAATTTAAATGTCTCTGTTTATTAACAGTTGCAGATAGTGTAGAATGTGCCCCTCAGTGTGTATCAAGTTACTATTCCAGCCCTTTAAGTTACAAACACAATGCTACACATTACTGACCCTATACAATATATCCGTAAAATGGTACTCAATACCCGGGCCCTAGCCCCTATCTGATAATTAACCAACCAATTATACCAAATATGGTGAAATTACTCCAATTCAGGTGCTGCCCAAACCGCTGAACCGCCGAGCAGACACCGGCCGTGAGATCAAAGCAGAGGATGACCAAGCCTTCCTGACGAGGATGCAGAGCCTGCTGCAGAATCAGAGACCTGCTGGACCCAGACCTAGCAAGCCTCTTACTAGCCAGACTAGCAGAACTGCTATACCCACCACTGTTACTCCGTACGTGCTGGTTCTTAGCATACTTTAGACATATCTTGCATATTTAACATAGTTTGTGGACATACATTCAGTGTGTAACAGTTTGGTAAATGTAATATGCTTGGGTGAAGTTACATTTTACTAAGCCATTAGAGAGCTGGACCAGGTCTTAGTCAGGAATAATATCAGTAGCTTAACAGTTCAGTTCTTTAATAATGCATGGGCCTGGATCAATAATAAGTAGATTGTGATGAGAAAGTATTCAATATTATCCAGTAGATTAATTTTAATCATGATGTAATTATATTGATGTTGATTTTAATGAATTACCTAACAAATCTCCTCCTACAGTGGAGCAGGATTATTGATATTGATTTTAATGAATTACCTAACAAATCTCCTCCTACAGTGGAGCAGGATTATTGATATTGATTTTAATGAATTACCTAACAAATCTCCTCCTACAGTGGAGCAGGATTATTGATATTGATTTTAATTAATTACCTAACAAATCTCCTCCTACAGTGGAGCAGGATTATTGATATTGATTTTAATGAATTACCTAACAAATCTCCTCCTACAGTGGAGCAGGATTATTGATATTGATTTTAATGAATTACCTAACAAATCTCCTCCTACAGTGGAGCAGGATTATTGATATTGATTTTAATGAATTACCTAACAAATCTCCTCCTACAGTGGAGCAGGATTATTGATATTGATTTTAATGAATTACCTAACAAATCTCCTCCTACAGTGGAGCAGGATTATTGATATTGATTTTAATTAATTACCTAACAAATCTCCTCCTACAGTGGAGCAGGAGGGCCAGGAGAGAAGGACGGTGTCCTAGCCAACTTCTTCAACTCCCTCCTCAACAAGAAGCCAACACCTGGAGCCGGTGGTCCGGCTGGTGCACGACCCGGTACTGCAGGTGCTGGTGCACCGCGAGCCCTCGCTGCACCTGCTGGTGCACCGCGAGCCAGCGCTGCGCCTGCCAGCCCTCGACAAGCTCCTCGACCTGTGGCCAGGACACAAAGCGAGGGAATACCCAAACAACCTGCTGTGTGAGAGCTGCGTCAGAGTGCTGTGCATGATGAGTATTAGTTATTTCTTACTGAGTAATATTGATGTATAAAACGTATGTAGGTTGTAAGTTAGTTAAATATTATATTAATTTTGAGGTGTTAAGTTGGTTGGACCGATGGTATTTTAAGAAAAGGCAGTGCCTTGAATACATTTATAGGATGGTGGTTTCGTCAGGGAAATGTGGAGACAGAGAAAACTTTTATTTGTTGTTGACTTTGTCTTAAAATTTGTAAATTATTTTTGTGTGCTTTCATTATTTATGATTTTTATTTAATTTTAATATCTGCGTGCTTTTCACACTTTTTTCCTGATACTTTGGGGTTTGCAATTTAGGACTTTGGGATCAATTTCAGATCAGTTTTGGCACAGATTTTTAACTAGGCACATTCGCTCAACACACTGAATTTTTCTTCAGGAAATTCGGAGAATAGTTTCGTTGTAGACTATTGATTCGAAAATTGATTAACGAATCAAAATGAACAACATTCCTCTGCTTTTGTCAGAAGTATATTTAGCACAAATTTTTATTATTTTTAGTCTAATCCATGTTTGGAGAATGCGACTATTGATTGAGATATCTATGTACAAATCATGTAAAATTATTTCATACATTAACAGAATTGATTGTAAATAATTCGTGTGAACATCATCTCCGCAAAATATTTTCCCATCAGGCCAACATTTTACGAAAATTAACTGGTGAGGAGGTGAACCATACTTTTCTGACTCATAACATGACATTAATTAACCAATCAGCTCAAGCATTGCCCAATCAAAAGCCAGAACATGAAAACGACCCACCTCCCCACCAGTATCCTCATCTGTAAACCTACTCCACATACACTCAGCACTGCATGACATAAGCCTCTAGAATGGTCTAGGCAAGATAATCACCTACTTCCTGCTTCTTCAGCTCTACTACAGGCCACCACAACTTGCTGAGTACCCTCTACCAATTGTGTGTACAATTGAGAGCAGTTAATGTTCCTTACTTGTTGCTAATATTGCAGGATAATATAGCTCTACAAGATTTATATGTTTATTTATATCTGTTGATAGTATTAGTGAATGCATATTATTTATATTTACAAACGTATATTATATCGCGTACTGAATGAGCCTGTATGTATGGCCTTCTTGGACGGAGTTAATGTCTGGTAAATAAGGAAATTTCATTGCATTACAATGAATATTAATATCATAACAAATATAAGTAAAGATCCGATAATACAAAAATGGTCAAGCACTCTGGACAGGTTATTTAAATGTTTATATTATGTTTGTGTGTGTTTGTTGAACGTCAATATGTATATGTACATTGTACAGTATGTACATTATACAAAAGATTAAATCATTGACAGTAGTACTTAGACAGAATGACAGGCTGACAGGCTGACACGTATTACTGAGCAAGCTTACTGATTGGCTAGTTTCTTACACGTGGAGTCTGATAAGCTTGTTTGTTGGTCAATGACCGTAGGTCGTAAGGCGGCATTACTAAGCTAGCTAATAATGATACTTATTGATTCAATTTATCTACATAGTACAATGTACATGCGTTAGTAGTAGTAAATCTTTCAAAGTACGAAATATCTCTTTAAAAGAGCATCCTAGGCACCTTATAGATATCAAAACGCATAAAAAAAGAAAACAAAAACATCAACCCATCAACCATCTTCTAACTTCTTCCACTCCTCCCTATCTAAAGCTAAAAATCTAAGGTCTTCGAAATCAGTCAAATTCTTAAGTCTAATATCAAGATTTCTACTAGTCAAGTCTTTTCTAATAACATCTAATAAGTTTAAACATGGTCTACCCCGTCTCCCTTCCATAAAAATATCAGAATTTATAGCAAATAACATAGAGGTGTATGCTGGTGAGTCTTCCTGTCCTCTTAAGATATGTCCTAACATTCTCCATCGAAACTTAGAGACTCTCACAGACAAGGGAGTGACATAACAACGAGCATAGAGTGCCTCATTAGAAATAACCCCAGTAGGCCATCTGATGTTGAGGATTCTTCGGAGGTGTTTGCGATGAGCAACATGCGTTAAAATGATATAAATGAAGCGTGTCTATAAGGTGATTGTTTCTGTATTGTTGAAAATAAACGTGGGAATATTTTCGGCGTAGTTTTCTCGCCGAGTCTCCCAGCAAGATATATTATACGCAATACCGTAGTTATTCCTATGTCCGATATGTTTTTGTCCCTCTAGAATCTTTCTGTTGAAAGCACGTGTCCAGACACCTAAAGCGCAGATATTATATGTTAAAAGGGCCGGATAACGTGAGATATTGCAGGTAACTCAATCTGATAAGCTATCTGATATTCGATTCAGAGTACTGCTTACAACTTTGTTGGTCTTTAAGAGTACTGCAAGAAGTGGATACGTGGAATGGGACAAATACTTGACAACATCTTTTTCTACTAGCAAAGATTTCGACCCGGCCATGCAAAGCCAAGAGTAGCCTGTTCAAATGGTAGATTTTAGTGCGCAGCGCAGCGCGCAATTTACTCTATTGTATGCATGTATACATTGCATAATTAAATCCTGCAATGTCGTGGGAACTAAAGTTCTTCAAACGTATTAAAATTACAAATATCCACCGCCTACTGTAATGTTAGGATGGGGCTCCTATTCTCCATCCTAACATTACAGTAGGCTCTGATACGCTTTTTGTAGCGTAAAATAGCCCAAACACAACATTTATTTGTCAAAATTATGGGGGAGGTGGAGGGAGGCTATCAATTGGCCAAAAAGTGATAATTGGCCAAAAAGTGATAATTAATTGTGAACGACCCCTTATGAACAAAGGCGAAAGATATGGCGGAATGACACATTTTAGTGCCGTGCATCAAATATTGGTACACGTTGAATACCCCTTCGGGGCCATCTACAGCAGGGTGTCGTAATTATTGGCGCGTAGACAATTTTGCGTAAAATTTTAGCTTACCCAAGCTTTTAGAAACGATCATTAGTTGACTTCTGAGAGTCAGTTTCCTATGGAGTCTTGATCATTCGAGAAATAATCCTTCATACTACAGTTCAGTCTAAAAACGAAGTCCGAAAGAAGTTTGGAACGTCCGCCAAAATCGTAGATTTTCAGATCACCCCCTGTCCGGGTGTGTCCGAATTTTTAAAACCTCTCTCGGATTTCCTGCTACAAATAAAACCAACTCAAATTCATTGTTAATAAAATGTGTAGTTACTCAAAAGAGACAATGATACGTTTAGTGTTTAGCTTTAACAAGTTTAGCACAGTTACATTTAACATTTTAAGTACTTATAAGTAGCAATTTTAAATACTTATAAGTGGCCATCCAATCGAATAAGTTTTAAGGCAGTAGGAGAATATGCGAGTTGTGTCTCGGCTGATCTGATCTTACGATCTGCTCTGGGAGTGGGAATTAACTTCTCGTTCAAAATACAGGGATCTAAACTTACTGAGTAATTAGTGTCAAAGAGTTGAAATAAATGGGACTTTTATTGGGGGGGTATATATATTTTATAGGGGGGGGGGTATATATATTTTATAGGGGGGGGGGGGGGGGGGGGAGTCTATAAAATTGGCCTAAAAGTGATTTCGTAATAATTGTGAACGACCCCTATGAACAAAGGTGGAAGATATGGCGGAATGACAGGCCAAAATCGCAGATTTTCAGACCTCTCCCTGTACTGTCCGGGTGTGTCCGAATTTTCAAAACCACCCGGACGCCCGGATTTCTAGCAGCTATTACTCAAATACTATTAGTATTAAGAGTACAAATAAAACAAATTCAAATTGTCCATAATATGTGTAGTTACTTAAAATATACAATAATACATATTTTGTCTATTACAAGTTAAACACAGTTACATTTTATCATTTTAAGTACTTATAAGTTGCCATTTTAAATACTTATATTAGTAGCCATCCAACCGAATAAGTTTTAAGGCAGTAGGAGAACATGCGAGTTGTGTCTCGGCTCTCATTTAACGGGTGATAGTGACTATCACCGTGATTCTCGTAAAATATCTGAGTCCAACTCGGCGCACGTCCAACTCGGCGCACGTCCTGGTAGGTTGTAAACCTACAAGGCTCTCAATATGAGCTGCTCTGGGACTGGGAATTGACTTCTCGTTCAAAATAAAGGGATCTAAGCTTACTCATACTGAGTAATTAGTGTCAAAGAGTTGAAAATGAAATAAAAGGAATTTAGTTAATTTGCCTAAATTTCCGGATTTTCAGAAATGAGAAACCAACCCCCTTCCCCTGTCCGGATTTGTCTGAAATTCCAAAACGACCCCCTCCCTATTTGCCGGACGTCCTAAATAGATGGCCCCTTATCTTAAAAAAGAAAGGCCGTTTTGGTATACGAGTACGACGTGTATCAAATCAAATAATTGATAACGTTTCTCGAAACCAGATACTGTATCTTTGTAATTGTATGTGTGCTGCGCCAAGCTTGGAGCTGCGAAGAATTGACATCATCAATCAAAGGACACAGTTAGTGAAGGCCTCCTAATAACCTATCCTGTGCATTCAGCATTGGGGTCGTTCACAATACTCTCCAATAAGCCCAGGCCAGGTCCAGTTTATGTATAACTATAAGTTACCGTCTCTGGATTACCTGGAGACCCCAGGCTGATAGTGTTCATGAACACAGATAGAAGCTGCGGCGGAATGCAAAATTTAAAAAAGGTGCAAAATGATACCTAGATTAAAATCGGTCGCTCGCTTTTCCTATTTATTCACGGCTTACGAATTTTAATCACTTTAGGTTTATTACATCGATGACATTGTCATTACTCTTAATCGGTTGTATCTTCGGTTGTGATGAATTTTTTTGATTCCATAAAAACTGACAGCCAAAGAAATAGAAAATTACTAGCTTCATCCCTGTTACCATGGGCTTTTCTTAATATAAAATTCTATCATCTTCTTCCTGTCTGCTCTGGTGTTATTCTCCCTTTTCCATGCCACCGCTGCTCTTTCTTCCTCCGTTATTCCGTAGCACACATCCTTAGCCGTTAACTCCACCCTTAGTGCCAGTATATACAGGGCTCGGAGGAAATCCTCCTTGTCCTGAATAAACACTCCCAACTCTGTACTTATTATCTCCGACACTTGTTGCCTTGCGTTAGAGGGAATTCCCTCGGGCAGGGTTGAAGTCCATGTCTGCTCCTTTGATCTTCGCTTCTTTAAGTCTCCCCATGAATACACGCTCCGGTCTGACAGTAATACCTTTTCCTATTTGCTTGGTTAAATTTTATTTACTTTCTGGTTAATCCCCAAAGTACAACCTCCTTTCTACAGTTTGTCTGGGGATTTCTGCTAATTTGAGTGTAATGTCTCCTTCAATTGTTCTGCCTTCGCCTCCTTCTTCGTTGAAACTTTGGGTCACCTGCACGACTTCTTCGTTCTTCGATTTCCCATGCATCAATTCATTTGTTTCGTAACAGAATTCCGTTTGCTCTGTTCTGTTTATAGTTCTCAATGTATCCCGGCCTGCTCACCCCGTATTTCATTGGGATAACAATTATTGTTAACCCGCTGTATGAGTATCGGTGGTCCTCTGTTCTACTTTCATTGAATGACCTACCCGGGTTCATGATCATAAAGAAATTAACTCCGTGTGCATAATCCTCATCGATGCCATGGTGGAGCCAAATGGCCCCACATCCAACAGAACCTCCAATCTATCCGCCATCTTCTTTTCCCATGGATTGCTCCCTGAATCCTCATATTTCTTCTCCCTCAGTTCCTCTTCGTCTCCTTCCGCTGCACATTCTTGTTTTTCATCTTTTCCTTTTTCCAGATCTTCTTCCTCATCATGTGCTTCTCGATCTTGCTGACAAAGGGAATTCCCTTTATCAACAGCAAGCAGTCTCTTCCACGCTTTCCACAATCTCCTGTGCTTCATACCAGATATCTTTCAGGCTGATTGCCGCCGGCCCAGTAAATGAAACATCAATATTTTTATTTCTTTCGTCAATCTCCAATAAATTCAGATTTCCTAGTTCTACAACTATAAACTCCTGCTGTACTAAAATCAAAAAGGGTAACATGCCATCCGACTCTTAAGTATCCCTTGTCATACGTTGTATGACCCGCCGCGCACGAGTGCGCGGCTCCCGGATTTTACTAATTCACTCGCCAGCGCGCTATCACGTGTTTTTAATGCCGTGATTTCATTGGTCACCTCTATAACGCGTATTATTTGTGACAGCACAGTTGTTTTCACACAATTTGTCCACCGCGCATGCAATAAACTCAATTTAAGCTCCGATTTGTGACCGAAATGGCCATAATACCGTTTATGCAACGCATGGCCGGTAATTAGCTAATTGAATTTTAGGCACTGTAGGTTGCATAAATTCACGAATTATCAATAATATGCAATAAAATTATTCCTGCAAGTTTTAATTCATTTTAGGTTTTATAGATCTTCAGATCTTGTTGGTCAAGGGTAAAATATATAAGCAGTATAATAAAACAATATCGAATTGTTTTCAGTTTTGCATCGCGAACAGATAACACTATTTCAAGTTGTTACACGGCCAAGGATAAATCTCACAATTGTTTATATATTAGATTTGTAGCTCTGTTTATCAACGGTGAGATTTCTGAATGGGCATTGGGCAATTG